AGAGACAGGGTTTCACCATGTTGACCAGGATGGTCTCGATCTCTTGACCTCGTGATCCACCCGCCTCGGCCTCCCAAAGTGCTGGGATTACAGGTGTGAGCCACCACGCCCGGCAATGCCAGTTGATTTTAAATGGAAGTCAGGCAAGCTGATTCCTAAGTTCATAGGGAAGAATGGTGAACAAGCAAAATGAAAAAGTACACTTACATAGTGCTTAATGCAACAACTCTGAGGTGGATACTACAGTCAAGACTTCTCATAAAGAAACTGAAGCCCAGAGGGGTTAAGTAGCTTTCCTGAGCTCACACAAAGTAACAGCCAAGATTTAACCCCAGGCAGACCAGTTCCAGAACCCTACATGGAACACACTGAATGAAGAATGAGGAGGGGCTGCCTCTACTAGCTTTCTCTTAAAAAAAAGATTATACTATCACTCCAAAGGAAGTTATAAACAAGAAAAAAATAATTATACTTGAAGTTCTGGGATACATGTGCAGAGCGTGCAGGTTACATAAGTGTACATGTGCCATGGTGGTTTGCTGCACCCATCAACCTGTCATCTAGGTGTTAAGCCCTGCATGCATTAGGTATTTGTCCTAATGCTGTCTCTCCCATTGCCCCTTCTACTAGCTATGTTTAAAATACAAAGTTTTAACAACTAGGTGTGGTGGCTCACACCTGTAATCCCAGCAATTTGGGAGACCAATACAAGAGGATTGCTTGAGCCCAGGAGTTTGAGACCAGCCTGGGCAACATGGTGAGATCCTGTCTTTTAAAAAAATTTAGGAAATTAGCGAGGCGCGGTGGCATGTACCTGTAGTCCCAGCTACTTGGGAGCCTGACCAACATAGAGAAACCCTGTCTCTACTAAAAATACAAAATTAGCCGGGCATGGTGGTGCATGCCTATAATCCCAGCTACTTGGGAGGCTGACGCAGGAGAATCACTTGAACCCGGGAGGTGGAGGTTGCAGTGAGCCTAGATTGTGTCATTGCACTCCAGCCTGGAGTCTAGAAAGAAAAAAAAACCTAGGCCTGGTGGCACGTGTATTTAGTCCCAGTTACTGGGGAGGATAAGGTAGAGGAATCTCTTGAGCCCAAGAGGTCGAGGCTGCAGTGAGCCAAGATTGTGCCACTGAACTCCAGCCTGGGTGACAAAGCAAGACTCCATCTCAAAAAAAAACAACAAACAACAAAAAAAAATTTTCAACGGTAAAATAAACAAACTAGAAAATGAGCAAAAGCCATGAAGGGATACTGCAATGAAGAATATACTGAGAATATACTGATGGCAAATAAGCATATGAAAAGGTGCTCAACATAATTTGCCATTAAGGAAGCTTGAATTAAACCAATGAAATATCACTATGTATCTATAAGAATGTCTAAAATTTAAAAAATAACATAAAAAAATGAGATGCAAAGAAACCAGATTACTCATATTGCTGGTGGGAATTCAAAATAGTGCAGCCACTCTGGAAAACAAATTGGCAATTAAAAAAAAATGAAACTTGCAGCTACCATACAATCCACCAATTGCACTCCTGGGCATTTATCCAAGAGAAATGAAGATTTGTGTTCACACACAAAAAACCTTGTATACAGACCAGGCAGAGTGGCTCACACCTATAATCCCAGCACTTTGCACTTTTCGAGGCTGAGGTGGGGGTGGGGGTTGGATCACTTGAGGTAGGAGTTCAAGACCAGCCTGGCCAACATGATGAAACCCCATCTCTACTACAAATACAGAAATTAGCCAGGTGTGGTTCATGCCTGTAATCCCAGCTATTCGGGAGGCTGAGGCACGAAACATCTGAACCCATGAGGCAGAGGTTGCAAGCTGTGATTTCACCACTGCACTCCAGCCTGACGACAGAGTGAGACTCTGTCTCACACACACACACACACAAAAGTGACTTTATTCCAGAGTTTAGCTGAGGAGAGGCAGTACAGTCTCCTGCCTTAAGGAAACTGCTTCAGCTTTCTCAGCAGAAAGTGAAGGCTTAAAAGGGGACTTGGGTCCAGGCGAAGTGGCTCACACCTGTAGTCCCAGCACTTTGGGGGGCCAACGCAGGTGGATCACTTGAGGCCAGGAGTTCGAGACCAGCCTGGCCAACATTGTGAACCCCCATCTCTGCTAAAAATATAAACAGCTGGGCGTGGTGGCTCGGGCTTGTAATCCCAGCTACTAGGGAGGCTGAGGCATGGAGAATAACGTGAACCTGGGATGCAGCAGTTGCAGTGTGTGGAGATCGCATCACTGCACTCCAGCCTGGGTAACAGAGAAACTGTTTCAAAAAAAAGGTGGGGGGGATGGGACTTGGTTGACATGGATGGCATGCAAGGTGGGGGGGACCGAGGAGGTGCTGTGGCTATGGGACTTACTCCCATGTATCCATCAGTGATCTGGTTGGCTCCATGGAGGCTGCGAGGGGGCTGGGGAAGGGGCGGGGAGTGAAGGCCGAGGTGGGTGGTGGGGGGAGGGGGCAGAGTTAGGTTGTAACTTGACAGTTGACCCAGGGGATCTCCTGCTATGGGAAAGTTCCAGAGGTGCCTAGTTTCAAGTCTCAGTCCTTGGAACTAATAAGCAAACACATAATTAGATAAGCTTACAGTGTAGAGAGTGTCTGGTGGAGAGAAGGTAAAGGTTAATTGCATTCCTTTTTATTTTTTTTATTTTTTTAGACAGGTGCACTCTGTCGCCCAGGCTGGAGTGCAGTGGCGCTATTATGGCTCACTGCAGTATTTACCTCCCAGGTCTAAGGTGATCCTCCCATCTCAGCCTCCCCAGTAGCTGGGACTACAGGCCCATGCCACCATGCCCAGCTAATTTTTTATATTTTTAGTAGAGACAGGGCGTCACCATGTTGTCCACACTGGTCTTAAACTCCAGTTCTCAAGCGATCCCGACTGCCTGGGCCTCCCAAAGTGCTGGGATTACAGGCGTGAGCCACAGCCTCCACCCTGCAATCGCATTCCCAAAGAGCTTTTAAATTGGAGGTGGGAGTAAAAGAGAAAAGTAAAAGCAATTTTTCTAAGAAAATGGGTAGTTGGTCACTCCCCTCTCTACTAGGGCCTCTGCAGACGTTCGCATCTGCACTGTGCTTCCCCCTCTCCGTCTTCCAGATCTCAGCTGCGGCCGCAGTTCTAGGATAACCTCCAACTTCTCGAAGATAATCGCCATGATTACTTGGTTCGTCTGTTATACTGGACAGGTAGTTCCATGAAGAGACTGTCTCTCTCGGTCCCATTGCATGCGCAGCGGGTAGCTCCGCACCTGGATGCTCAGTACCAACAGCGTTTATGGACTAAACCCTGAAAGCTGAAGGACTGCCCGCCTACGCGCCGAGCCTTCCGGAGGCGCAGGTCTCCTGGCGTCGCGCGGCCTGCGACGTCACTTCCGTCGGAAGAGTCTCCTGAGACGCCCGCCTGCGCGCCGAGCCTTCCGGAGGCGCAGGTCTCCTGGCGTCGCGCGGCCTGCGACGTCACTTCCGTCGGAAGAGTCTCCTGAGACGCCCGCCTGCGCGCCGAGCCTTCCGGAGGCGCAGGTCTCCTGGCGTCGCGCGGCCTGCGACGTCACTTCCGTCGGAAGTCTCCTGAGACGCCGCTCAGATTCCTGTCACTTCTCAAGGCGTCTCCGTCGCGAACATGGCTCTGCCACCCTTTTTCGGCCAGGGTCGCCCAGGCCCGCCGCCCCCGCAGCCGCCGCCTCCCGCTCCCTTCGGCTGTCCGCCACCGCCACTGCCCTCCCCGGCTTTCCCGCCGCCTCTCCCCCAGCGGCCCGGCCCTTTTCCGGGGGCCTCCGCCCCCTTCCTTCAGCCTCCGCTGGCTCTGCAGCCCCGAGCCTCCGCGGAAGCCTCCCGCGGCGGCGGCGGCGGCGGCGGCGGCGGCGCTGGCGCCTTCTACCCGGTGCCACCACCGCCGCTGCCTCCGCCGCCGCCCCAGTGCCGGCCCTTCCCGGGGACAGACGCCGGCGAGCGGCCGCGGCTGCCGCCTCCCGGCCCGGGGCCGCCCTGGAGCCCGCGCTGGCCTGAGACGCCGCCGCCGGCCGACGCGCTCGGGGATGCAGCCCTCCAGCGCCTGCGCGACCGGCAGTGGCTGGAGGCGGTGTTCGGGACCCCGCGGCGGGCGGGCTGTCCGGCTCCCCAGCGCACGCACGCCGGGCCCAGCCTCGGCGAAGTGCGAGCGCGTTTGCGCGGGGCTCTGCGCCTGGTGCGGCGGCTGCGCGGCCTCGGCCAGGCCCTGCGCGAGGCCGAAGCCGACGGCGCCGCCTGGACCCTGCTGCATGCCCAGGCCGCGCCACTGCGCGCGGCCCTGGCCGACCAGCTACAGCCGCTGACCCAGGCCGCCTACGTGGGCGAGGCGCGGAGGAGGCTGGAGAGGGTCCGGCGCCGCCGGCTGCGGCTTCGCGAGAGGGCTCGGGAACGCGAGGCCGAGCGGGAGGCAGAGGCCGCGCGAGCGGCGGAACGCGAGCAGGAGATTGACCGCTGGAGGGTCAAGTGTGTGCAGGAGGTAGAGGAGAAGAAGCGGGTGAGAGCAGCGGCCGCGCATGGGGGTAGGAGTGGTGGTGATTGGAACCTGGAGCAGCAAGAAGCTAAAGCTTCCACTTCCCAGGACTAAACCTCTGTCCTTACGCTGAAAATGATGCGGTAGCTAACCTTCCCACCTCATACCACCATGTTAATTGTGTGTTAATAATATATAGTACACAAAACAAGTTCCAGGTGCACTGTGAAGTCCTGTCAACACAAAATACAGGATTACACAGTGACTTTGCACGAATGACAGGTCTCCTGTATCCTGCTCCAATGTTGTCCATTTACATTCAAAAACGACAAGTGTCTAGTTCTTGTGTCTTGTACTGCCCTAGGTGATCTTAAGAATACAAAATGAAGCTGGGCGCTGTGGCTTGTGCTTGTAGTCCCAGCACTTTGCGAGTCCAAGGTGGGCGAATCACGAGGTCAGGAGTTGGAGACCAGCCTGTCCAACGTGGAGAAACCCGTCTCTACTAAAAATACGAAAAACTAGCTGGGTGTGGTGGCACGCGCCTGTAATCCCAGTTATGTGGGAGGCTGAGGCAGGAGAATCACTTGAACCTGGGAGGTGGAGGTTGCAGTGAGTCGAGATCGTGCCACTGCACTCCAGCCTGGGCGACAGAGTAAGACTCTTTCTCAAAAAGAATACAAAATATAGGCCGCGCGCAGTGGCTAGTGCCTGTAATCCCAGCACTTTGGGAGGCAGAGGCGTGTGGATCACGAGGTTAGGAGTTCAAAAGACCAGTCTGGCCAAGATGGTGAAACCCTGTCTCTACTAAAAATACAAAAATTAGCTGTGCAAGGTGTCGGGTGCCTGTAGTCCCGGCTACTTAGGAGGCTGAGGCAGGAGAATCGCTTGAACCAGGGAGGCGAAGGTTGCAGTGAGCCCAGATCACCCCATTGCATTCCATCCTGGCGACAGAGCAAGACTCTGTCTCAAAAAAAAAAAGAACAGAAAATATAGAGAACTTGGGGACCCTACCTCAAGGAATATATACCCTAAGGTGATGGGGCAATAGTGATTTCCCTAGAATTCCTTTGTTTGCAAGTTTAAAACTGTATATCCGCAGGTTCAGCAATGGTGTTTTGGAGCATTTACTACATATATACTAGGAGCTGTGCTAAGGTCGTTACATATACCAGATCTTGAATCTTTATAACAACCTTGAGAAGTAGGAAGTATGCTAATTTTACAGGTTAGTTAGGAAATTGAGGCATAGAGAAGTGAACTTGCCAGCCAGTTTGTGGCAAGTTACACAGCACAGTTGTGTGTGGCAATCACACAGCCAGTTTGTGGCACTTTCCCATATTTGATCCCAAGTTGTCTGATTCTAAAGCATATTGATGTCAGACACCTTAAACAGGTCCACAGAAAAACTGGAAATTATTCAGATAGTTGTCTAAGGCATTGTCTTTTTTTTTTTTCTTTTTGGGGGGGATTAAATTTTGCTCTTTTTGCCAAGGCTGGAGTGCAGTGGCATGCAGTGGCGTAATCTTGGCTCACCACAACCTCCACCTCCCGGGTTCAAGTGATACTCCTACCTCAGTCTCCTGAGTAGGTGGGATTTCAGGCATGCACTGTCATGCCCGGCTAATTTTGTAGATTTAGTAGAAACATGCTTTCTCCATGTTGGTCAGGCTGGTCTCGAACTCCTGACCTCAGGTGATCTGCCTGCCTCAGCCTCCCAAAGTGCTGGGATTACATGTGTGAGCTACCGCACCTGGCTGTCTAAGGCATTTTCATTACTTTTGAGTGCCTATGGAGTTCCCTATCCTCCTCATTATTTCTGTTGTTGTTATGTTGTAATACATAATGAAATAATTAGACAACTCACCATAATGTAGAATCAGTGGGAGCCCTGAGCTTGTTTTTCTGCAATAGTTCCATCTGGGGGTGATAGGAGACGGTCACAGATCATTAGGCTTTAGATTCTCTAAGGAGCCCACAACCTAGATCCTTCCCATGCACAGTTCACAATAGGGTTTGTGCTCCTATGAGAATCTAATGCTGCTGTTGCTGATCTGACAGGAGGTGGAGCTCAGGTGGTAATGCACGCAATGGGGGAGTGGCTGTAAATACAGATGAAGCTTCACTTGCTCACCTGCCACTCACCTTGTGCTTTGTGGTCTTGTTCCTAACGGGCCATGGACTGGCAAACGTCCATGGCCCATGGTTTGGGGACCTCTGGCTTAGATATCTGTGAGAGATCATGTCAGTATAGTGTAGTTTGTGTTAGGATTTCAGCTGTAGGTGCTATAAAAGCCCAAAGAAGGGACATCTAATTCACTAGGGGAATGCTTCCCAAATGATATAATGACACATAAGCTGAGTCTTGAAAAGCCAACCAGGTGAAGGTAATGGGTGCAGTTCCAGGGGGACAGTAATCTAAATCGGGAAGTGGAACAGCTTGCTGTGGGCTGTAATGGCAGAATTGCAGGCACTTATTTGACAGATGGGGGAGAGTGCTTTAGGCAAGAGGATTCTCTCTACCACCCATGGTGGGATTTTTTTTTTTTTTTTTTTTTTAAAGACAGGGTTGGGGGTGGGCTCAGTGGTTCACGTCTATAATCCCAGCATTTTGGGAGGCTGAGGCAGGCAGATTACAGAGCCCAGGAGTTCAAGACCAGCCTGGGCAACATGGTGAAATCTCGTCTCTACAAAAAACAAAAGTTAACTGGGCATGGTGATGGCTGTGATTCACACCACTGCATTCCAGCCTGGGCAACAGAATGAGACCCTGTCTCCAAAAAAAAAAAAAAAGAGACAAAGCTTCACTCCGTTGTCTAGGCTGGAGTGCAGTGGGTTTGCCATAGCTCACTGCAGCTTTGAACTCCTGGGCTCAAAGTGATCCTCCTGCCTTAACCTGAGTAGGAATAGCTAGGGACACATGCCATCATGCCCGGTTCCCCATGGTGAGGATATTGGAGACAGAGTCTTATGAGGAGTGGTTTGTGGAACTGGGGTTATTTAGTCTATATGTGAACCAAGTCAAGAGGAAGATAGTCATCTTTGATATTTAAAAGGCTGTCACATGGAAGAGATCCTTGGGACTTTAGAGCAGTGGAGCACCAACATAGGTTGTCATTAAGAGACCTTTGTAGAGATCTCAGCCTTTCCAACCACATT